GACTGAGGTTGTTAACTGTTACAGCTTGCTTGGCTCCACAATCAATACTCTTAAACACTAGCAGTCAGGAAATCAAAGGACAAATTGCATTCAGAAAATCTGCCATCAGGGACTTCTCCAGAGTGCTGAAAAGCAATGATATCAGTCTAGAGACTAAGATGCACCTAATCCAGGCCATGGTCCTAGCAATTACTTGTTATGTGTCAGAAAGCTGGACAAAGAATACAGAAGAAGAATCAATGCTTTCAAATTGTGGTAATTGAGAAGAATCTTGAACATACCATGGACTGCCAAGAAAACAAATAAGTCTGTCTTGGAGAGGGTGAAACCAAGTTTCTTCTCGGAGGCTAGGATTTTTAAGCTCCGTCTCACATATTTTAGGCACACGGCCAGGAGAGATTGGTCCTTGGAGAAGGACATCATGCTTGGAAGGGTGAAGGGACAGCACAGGAGATAAAGACCTCTGATAAGATGAATTGGTACAGTAACTAGGGCAATGGGGTTGGTGTGTCGGAATTAGTGAGACTGCCTCAGGACAGGATGGGGTTCAGAACTGCTGTACATAGAGTCACTATGGGTCACAGGTGACTTGGCAGCACATAACTACAAAAACAACCTCAGCTAACTGAGAGGGTAAGAATCAGAGTAAATACAGTACAGGAGAAAGTACCAAATTCTGCATAAACATTGTCGTTGTTATGTGCTGTTGAGTCGTCTGCAACTCATAGCGACCCTATGTACAACTGCCCTAAGCCCTGCTCTATCCTGTGCCAATCGGACTGCCTCTGACACACCCATCCCAATTACCCCAGTCACTGAATCAATCCACCTCATAGAGGGTCTTCCCCTCCTGCACCGTCCCTCCACCATTCCAAGCATAATGTCCCTCTCTAAGGAACTGTCCCTCATTACAACATGTCCAAAGTATGTCAGGCGAAGCCCCAGAATCCTTGCCTCCAAGGAATAGCCTGGTTTAATCCTCTCCAGGATGAATCTGTTTGTTTTCTTGGCAGTCCATGCTACATTCAATACTCTTCTCCAGCACCACAGCTCAAAGGCATCAATTTTCCTTCTATTTTTCCCTAGTCATTGTCCAACTCTGTGATGCATAACAAGTGATTACAAAGACCACGGCCTGTATCAGGCGCATCTTAGTCTCCAGAGTGACACCACTGCTCTTCAGCACTTTGGACAGGTCCCTAACAGCAGACTTTCCCCTCGCAAGACGTCTTTTGATTTCCTGGCTGCTGGTGCCAAGAGTGTTGACTGTGGAGTCAAGCAGACTAAAGTTCTTAACAATCTCAATCTCTTCACCGTCCATCCTGATGCTGCCAATTGGTCCAGTGGTGAGAATCTTTGTCTTCTTTATATTGAGCCTCAATACACTTTGAAGCCTGCAGTCCTTGACCCTTTGCGGCAAGCTCCTTAGGTCCTGCTCAGTTTCAGCAAGAAGGGTTGTGTCATCCGCATAACTCAGATTGTTGATAGATCTTCCACCAATCCTGATGCCACACTTCTCCTCATAGAGCCCAGCCTCCCAAATAGTATGTTCTGCATACCTTTTGAACCTATATGAATAAACATTAGCAATATGAAATCAGTCATTATTTTAGAGTCTGTATGGTCATTTCTGACTCAGAGTGACCCTGTCAACAACAGAATCAGGGACTGCTCAGTTGTGTGTCATCCTCACAACAGATAGTAAACGCGAGTCTGTTGTTGCAGCCACTGTAGTAATCCTTCTAGCTGAAATCACTGACACTCAACTTTATCACTGACCTTCAAGTTTTTTGTTATCTCCAGGGATTAGTTCTTTCTGATAACATGTTCAAAATACTGTTCTTTAGTCTGTGCACAATTACAATATTGGTACAATTAAGGGTTCTAGAGTCCTCAAGCAAGACCCACACCTCACTCCATACACAAAAACCAACTCAAGGTGGATCATGGACCTAGGACTAAAACCAAGGACTATGAAATTCATTACAGGAAAGCTAGGAACAACACTAGAAGTCCTAATCCACAACATAAACAGTCTTCCCAGTATCCTGGAAAAGCTACAACC